TCACGAATAGCTCAATTCGTAGAGCGAACGCCCCGGAAAGAAGTCGGAACAAATTTTTCGGCAACTAAGAGGCTTTTCTTTACTGAGAAATACGCACGGATTTCCTTGTCGCTTCGTGCTACAAACGGGTGGCTGTCTTCTTTCCCTTTCTTACCACCCAATATTGAACCACGGGTGGTATATTTCATCAATAAAGTTTTCTATACTACTCTTTTTACTTCTTTACGACTACTACTACTACACGTATTCTAAGATGTTACTTCACGAAGCAGGGGTCCGACCCCTTCATGTATGTGTGTTGTGTATGCATGCGCGTCATTGAAACAGCCACGCGAGGGAGAAGTTGAATTCGTCCCCACTCCAAACTTTTTTTCAATTCTGCAAGTGTACATATACACATCCGCAGATATATGCACGCACGCACGAAAGTATAATTAAGTATAGTTAAGCCCCCTTCCCCACATTATCCCGAAAAAATTCTGGCTACACCCCTGGTTACTAAACTGAAAAACTTTCAGGGAGGTAGGTCGAATCGTAACCGCTTTCCAAAACACCCTTCAAGATAGACATATGATTTGTATGTATAAATGAATGATGGGGGAAGGGGGGTGGGCGCATTCGACTGCGCCATGTCTACAAGTGTGTGGCATTCTAAACGAAAGAAAACTCGTACGCATATTTTATCGCTAGTTTGGCGGGTATGTACACATGCCGAAAGGATTATGCGGCACATATTCACATACTTTTCTCGCAAACCGTCAGGTATGACAACAGCGCAAAAAAAAAAAAGGCAAAAAACGTGACCTCTTCAGACAACGCAGACATAACTCCAGACGATGAACCAGATGTCAACTCTTCTCTCGACTACACATGATGGAGAGCTGGGAACAACGGGAAGGTCTCCTCTACAGTAACTGTGTTTGTAGGGCGCTTGATGACATGTCACATTTGAGATGACACTTGGGATGTGCCGCACAGGTGCGCATATCAGGCCTATAACCACACCTGCTTCGTATACACTAATGGATTAGGGTAGGAAAAGCCGCATGCACTCGCTGAATGCAGGAAGGAAAAGAGAAAAAAAAACTGTTTCAGGGACCCCCCAAACAACCTCTGAAAATACAAAAAATGCGCATTATTTTTAAAAGGCGTATAACAGCACCAGCAGACACGAACGTGGATGACGCAACGGGTCAAGCTGTTTTTTTTTTTTAAATAGAAAAACAAAAAAGTCGTGTGCCCCGTCCTGTGACACCTTCTGACGCAAATCAACCAACTAACCAAAAAAAAAACCACATTGACTACAGTCTTTCTCCTCCGGCGTTTCCCCATCCTTTGTTCTCGTGACGTCATGAAGAAATAAGCTCTCAATTGGTCTATATACGAGGGTTTAATAAGGGTTCTTTAACGAGACACCAACGAGAACGCGAATTTTTCTCGTACAAGTAAATTACTCTTTCACAATACCAAAATTACTAAGTCTGCCACGAGAAGATGATAGTGTGAACGTGCAAAAAAAAAAAAATGCGCCTAGATAGCGAAGCCTTTTTGAAATTCTGCAACAATCGCCTTGGCGTCATAGATTTTGGCGCCATCTACTAGGGCCTATACGAAGTTCCTAGTAATAAAAATGAAGCACCATGGCCGTTGCCGGGGCCAAAAATTTAACATACCTAGGGGCACATTCACAAACCAACCTCACTCTTACCTCGAGCTTTCCATATCGGTTTTCAGCCTTTGTTGCACTTGACGAACAAAGTAGGTTAGTATTTATGAACCAATCTTGTTTTTCTTTTTTTTTAACCTATTACCATTTTTGCACCCTTATAACGCATGTAAAGTGTACAGAGACTAGAGCAAAACGTGAGGTAAAGTCGAGGTTGGTTTGCGAATTCGGAACTAAATTCCAGGAAATTACGTAGAGCCAATTGTAGCCGAAAATACGAAAAACTAGCAGTTGTTCAGTGTACGAGTACAACCGATGAGCGATGCTGCTTAGAAGTGGGGCGCTAGCTAGTAAGCGCTTGATCTCGCTGCTGGCGTTCGTGAAGGCGGTAGGGTGCATAGAGTTCCCTAAACAAATATACACTAGAGGGCGTTCCGGCGCTAGTTTCTATTTGTACATGAAGAATGTCGATACAAAATGGAGGAAGCGAACGAGAAAATTGAGGGGTAAATACTTTGAAAACAGCAGGGGGCCAAACCAAAAAGAAAGATTGGTTAAAAAGACGGTGAAGAAAACGGAGACTGACATGTGTAGAATTGGCATGATTAAGACGTCCGCACTAGAGGTTCATCAAACTTTTAAGTAGGAAATTGCCAAGGAAATGATCTATGATAATACTCGGGGTAGTTCTCTACCTGTTTGAGGCCAGGTCGGGCGTATTGCTAGTTCTCTACCTGTTTGAGGCCAGGTCGGGCGTATTGCGAACCAAGACATATCGGGCCAAATACGAAGGGTAGACACGGTATGCAGTGCGTGTAGAGAGGAAGAAGAAACTGCCGAACACTTGATAACGTTCTGTAAAGAGCTTCACCCTATAGTTCAGGATGATGGCGCAGAGTTTTTCAAAGCATTGGGGTTTAGGGACAGAGAGGGCAAAATAGACTTTAAGCGGGTAGAATTAACTAGAAGGAGACCAAAGGCAAGGCACGAGCGAAAATTACACCCTTCACTGCAAGGTACCAGTCCTCAACTTCACTATTTAAAGGGGGGGGGGGGGAAGATAAATCTAGTTCTTGGTTCACTAAGTATTACGTCTAGGTGGCGTTATCAGACGCCCGATCTAAAGGGTAAAGCCACATCAGTCCATCCATCCATCCATCCTATGGGGGTTTATGGATAGTCAAGGCAAGATAGACTTTAAACTGGTAGAAATAACCAGGAGGAGGCTAACTGATTGGTGACTACAATCAAGGCACGAGTGAAATTCAATCCTTAAACACAGAGTTTAACTTTATGGCTAGGTGGCGTGAGCCATTGCCCGATCTAAAGGGCGCAGCCGGGTACATCCATCCATCCATACATCCATTCTATGGGAGCTTCAACGCATACCGCTTCAGCGAGCATGATAATTATGGTACAGTGCTCTAGATAGGGATGCACGGAGGAAGGAAACCTTTCCTTCTCCTCCGTGACTGTATGGGTAGTACACGGATATGCATAGTCTTCGTACTTTACGTTCCTTTTGACTTCACGTGGCTTAAGCTGCTTTGTCCCGCAGCAATCGGCAAACGTTCAGCAGAGGCGCTTCACCACCTTAATCTTTTAGGCTTACCATTTCAAATCAGGTCCCGAACTTTTTCTTTCCTTCCAAACAAACCCGAAACACAGCAACAAAAGAAACCACAAGTGCCCGCTAGTACGAAGACTAGACAAATCAGTGTGCTACCCATCATTTCCATGGTCGCTGAACGATCACAGCGCCAAAGTCCCCTCTAGTTCGCAGCGCCTCTAGCCTCGATCGCAGCGCCAAAGACCCGAGCGTGTCGGTGACGGGAACGACTGAACGGGCGAGCGTGCGCGGCGCGAACAATCTGCCACCGCGCCTGCACTACCGCTTCGCCGAGAGCGTGCACCTGTTATTTCGCTCGGCGTGCTTGCCAGGCGCAGGGAGTTACGACGGCGACGGCAGGGTGCGGGCCTAAGGAGCTTCGCTCTTGAAACCATTTTGAAATCCATGACGCCATGCCACGGCATTTAGGCACGAAATTTTAGGAAACGAAACTATGACACGATGGTGTGATTACCGACATCGGAGTCTTCAGAGTGAAATCGATCGAACCCAGACCGATCAAATGTTTCACTTCAGAGTCCCGTGATTCAACGTCTCAAAACTCGACCTCATTTTTGTTTATTTTTTTACAAAGCTGCCAAGAGCCAACGCAACCGTCCTTTCGGAGAGCTCGAATAAATGTTTTTGCTATAGTAGTGTAGCGTTCCTGCGGCTTCACATGGGCGTGATTTTGCAGCGCCTCGAGCACCGAAGGCGTGGGAGTGCGCTAGAAGCTACAGTAATGCGTGCACAGGCAGCTATACATTGGAGCCACGCTATGAATTTATTGTTATTATTGATAGTAAGGTTATAGTGCAATCATTATCATCATTCATCGCCACCAAGCACCTCCACTTTAAGAACCTGGATCTGCTGCTTGCTTACACCACTCACAATTCTCTGGTATGCTATGTACAGACTTGCACAACCCAAACAGGTAGTGCCATGGCAGCAAGCAAAAAGTTATTACAAGGAAAACTATTGCTACGCAACTAATACCCCGTGTTCGATGTACACAAGCGTTCAAAGTACACAGGAATGCACATGCCTTTTTCCAAATAACCAACATGCTTGTTACATGTATTATTACAGCTGCTACCAAGACCATAACAAAACTAGCTAGCTCTTTTCAATGGTGTGCTCCAAAGCACGGTCCTGAACACTTACACTCTCAGAGATGGGGAAGACGACACCATTGCGATTTTGCATCTGAACAGTGTCTTGCATAAAAACACAGCTGTGGAAAGCTGCAGTCTCACAAACAAAAGAACACAATAATGTGATGGTTGCAAAGGTACATAACTGATTCCTTCTGCCAACGTGTGTGAGTATGTGAGAATTTCTTCCACTGCAACGTCATCAACATATTGCTACTAAAAGAAGAATCAAACCCACGAACTTGAGCTTGGCAGCATCACAGAATAGCTACAAAAACAAGCTGCTGCAACACTCAAAACAACTGCCTGAGAAAGCACGCATTTTCTCCGACCATCTAGTTATAACAAATTTCTTAGAACTTTCAAATGTGCTCTGTGTGATTTCATAGCAACCACCACTCGGAGAAACCCCTATAGTCGAAATGTGCTGGAGCAATTTCTTTTTCTTTGATCAGTTAATAGTACTTTTGGTTAATTAGACAAATCATTAACATAATTAGGGTTAAACCAGCACAGTTAAATGTAGTGAGCTGTAACAGTACGTCTATGGAGTGTCTGTCATCGAACGATTCAGGACCATCTACGTCGATTTTCCTTTCTTACAGCTGTAACTATCTAAAGTCGCACAACTAAGGTCGTTGCAAAGTAACTAGTCACAAATAGTTTCATGTGCTCACAAACTCACACTCGGTCAAACAGCAACTGCCCTGGCTCAGTCACTCAGTACTTGATTTTTCAGCAGACAGACTGCAGTCCCCAACTTTGAAATTAATCAGATGTGCGAAACAAGCAATCAGTTTATTTTACGATGCAACCACAGTGCAAGCATAGTTTGGTGTGCCAACAGGTAGTTCGAAACAGCAGGTGTAAACATTGGACACGTCGCGTCACTTGCTAGCTGGCACTTTCATATGACCACGCCATTAGTGGTAGTCACAAGTGAGAAAGAGCCTTGATAGAAAACATTTGAAAGGAAAAAAGCGAATGCAGAGTTTTCAAAAAAAAAAAAAGAAAAGATCTTCGAGCATGTCATGATCACTGCATTTCATGACGAAGAGAATCCTCAAAGGACACTGCTATTTTTACGGTGCCGTGCATTGAACGTGAATGCACTAGCGCGCAGTTTCACAACCATATACTTTAATCATTGGAAGTGAAAGGGATACTCAGTGCCACAAAAACTTAACATGCTACTATGTCTATTGTCGATAGCACATACCTCACGACAACCTCGCAAGAAGCCTTTTGTAAGTAAGACATCCACTCGTAATTTTTCCAGACTGAAATTGTCTTAATCAAGCTCAAAGCAATGCCGAATCGGTCAATACAAATGCGCAGGTGAATGGTGCGTCTCGTGAGACTGGATGCCAGTGACAGTCGCAGACTATAGTTCCTTCACGATCCCGGTCTCGGAGTCGTCTTGTCGGGGGAGCGAATCAATGGGTCGCTGTGGCTGCTCGGTGGCCTGGGTTTGGGCTGTGGGTGCGCAACTCGCGCCTTCCCTTCTGCGAACAAGATGACAGCCGCGCACAACATCTCATTGATTACACGGTTTAAGAACCATGACCCCACAATGCTTGCTATGGAAATCGGGGGAAAGATCACAGTGGAAAAAACAAAAAACAAAACAGAGTGCCCCCAAGCACATGTCCAATGAAAAACCAGAAAGCGGCAAAGTGAACTGGCTTAATAGCACCACAATAGATTAGAGTACTGTCTCTTTACAAGCAATGGAAAAGAAGGATTCACTGTGTCTGCTCAACATTTTGATATCGCTGAAACTTGTGGAGAATGATGAGAACACCGCCACAAGTGTAGAAATATAGAGAGTAGGAAGACAGGGAGGTTAACCAGAAGGTAGTATCTGGTATGCTACCCTGCACTGGAGTAGGGCAATAGGGGGTTGAAAGAGACCACCTAATAAAGCATCAACAAATGGCAAATTCTTATAGAGGAAAAAAGCACGACATACAACATGAAAGTTTCATTTTCACAGAAAGCGGAACCATTCTTTAAAGAGTAATTGATAGTTACTTTTAAATGCAATTTAATTAGTCTGTTGGCTAAAGTGCACTTACAGCACTATTTGGCTTGGTAAAAGGCAGTTTCATTTTCATTTCTGCACACTAAATATATTGACCGATCCAATCGAGACAGCAATGTACCCCCTAGTTTAGACACAATTCTTGAAGAATCCCTCAGCAACATGTTGAACCACTAACAATCAAACAAAATCCTGAAGGTAATGTAACGTTAGCTTAAAGGTTAAGTGCTTCAATTCCTTTTTTTTAGTGCATACAACATAGACTCATATAAAGTGAGCCACACTTCTCTCGCAATTTCGACCACATGGGACTTGGCCATTTGGCCCACCTTTCAGACAAGTATGACATATGACATCCGTAATGCAACATAAGCCTCCTACAACCCCAACAGCAAGCACTACCCTTTTCGAAGTGTATCCCTTTGTGCGCACAAGCTGCACAGCTATATTCTTCATTCTTGCTGCCACTGCCACTCACACTCAGATTACCAGCGCACTTGTCGATTAACTCATCAATGCCATCCCTGATGTTAGGCAGCCCTGCCATTTTCAAAGCCCCTAATGGTTACTTTATGTACAGAAATTGGGATGTGCCATCACTTGAAACAAGCAAATTCAATTTTCATTTTATGAATCTTTATTTTCTAATTATTTTATTTTTCTTCTTACTACTGGGCTGCCACATTGGAGGAGGAGGCGACCCATGCTTATGCTTATACGACATGTATGTACATTTTGAGTGTGGAGAACAGTTCCTCTGCTTTGCTTCGTGTTGTTACAGAAACACTGGCGCAACGAGACAGTGGAGACATCACGGCCCCCTGCCAGTCTGAGGGTGCCAATCGAACTAAGCGAACAAAGGGTCGCTTCTCCGGCTGCAAAAGGCTCATCAGCCATAGCGAAAGCACAGGTCAAAGTTGTATCTTATGTAATAAGCACCACCAAGTATTGCACATACTGCATACAGACATCATGGGGTAGCAAAGTAGGACACTGTGCCAACACACAAAATGTACAAATATAAAATAAAAAGAAATAGATGTCTAGTACGGGAAAATCTGATAACGCCAGCTATAAACTATTCATAATAAGACGTACGAGTGCCCCACCAAGGGCTGTTAAACAAATGCTTTCATATTTTGCACGTCGTCAGTACTTGAATTGATATAGTCAGAAGACGTCTAATGCGCCAACCCAACCCTTTTCATGTGCATGCATTCATTGCAGCACTGTTTATAAAGTTGTTAAAGCTCCAAAACCTCATAGTGAACAGCCCGATATAGTGCCAGCAAAGTCCATTCGTTAATTAGTCCAATGTTGAAACAGCTCAAAGTAGATTGCGCTGACTAGTTTTTTAAGCCTACAGATGCAAGATGAAAGTGCACATATGCACGTTAAAGCATCACAGAAGTGCAGCAATATCAACTAAACTCGACAAGAACATACATCCCTTATCATTTTCTTTTCCCTTGGAAATGATTTCGCAACAATATCACTTGCATCTTTGTCTGGTTTCAACCCCGTTTCATCTGTTATGCACTTCCAGATGTTAATTGAGGCTATGTTACTTCAGCTGCTAACTAGCTATTCTACCATGTTCACAAACTGGAAACATTAGGTGACTAGCATGAGAACCACATTCTGCATCTCTGCGGCACCACCTTTCTCTCTAACATACTATGTTTGATATGTGTATTTGCAAATTTCCCAATATCACAAAACACAAGGTGTGCTTGCAGCTGTGGTCCCTCTTTTTCGTGAAAGAATTCACAATTAAACAAAGACAAAAAACACTTTATGAAACAATGAGGACAAAATTGTGTGATGATGCGACTGATTAAAAAAACAGTATCAGTAAGTGCGACATCATCTTTCAGGGTCAGTACAAAAGAATTCGAGGTCACAAGGCTCGGTTTCCGGCCAATAACAGAGTGACCATTACTGAGAACAGCACAACAGTCACAGGAAGACCTTACGAACCATTGGTTCAGTAGAATGAAACACAACGCAGCCATATATAGGAGTGATAATACACAACAAACACACTTGCAAAGTGGCACATGATTAATTATGTTCAAGCGAAAATAACAGCAACAATGGCACTCAACCTAACAAAATGTCACATTTACTGCCAGCCTTCAATTTCATACACGGCAGCAGCTTGTTCGATACAGAACAAAACAAACATTGATTGAGCATTGTCCTGCTTGGCTGGGATTAATCATCAATGGAAGTAAGGAAGGCAGTGAATGAGCAGAGAGAGAAAGATTGACCGGGGCTTTTGTTTGCGGACGAGCAAGCACGCAGCCGTAATGAAGCATTGTTGTCATATTTGTAAGGCAGCCCACGAGCCTTCCCTCAACTGTAGACAGCTAAAAGAATTGCCTCCTGGGAACAACATCAAGGCCGGACAGAAAAGTAGACCGATATGTATAGGTCAGTTAACTCCAGATTCACTAACAGCAGATGCATTTCTTCCAAACAAGCACAGAAGCAAGAGCGCTAGAAATGTTCAAATTTGATATTTTTACTTGAGTTTCTGAGAATGTAAAGTGAAAAACGGAGGGAGCAACAGAAACTTTGGCTTATTTCCATCTCTATTCCATATCCCTTACGCTTGATTTTTTACAAAATTCCAAGAATCTTTGAAAGTACACACGCTGTAAAAGTTGTCCCCGTCGTTATTTACAACTAAACAGCCTTTCTTTTCATTTGCCATAGAATGGTTTCCCAACTTCCACTAGGTATGCTTACACAAAGCATTCTTCATTCCAAAGGAAACAGTTTTTAAATGGTCAAAGTGTAGTGAAGTGTACAAAAAGCTATTACAAAGTCGACAAAGAGGCAGTTCACATTTGGATGGAACATAAGCAGCACAATCACTGACTGACCATGATCAACCCAACAGGAGGTGATACATTAGCCAATCACATACAATTTTTAAATGCAGCAAGTAATCATATTTAACTTAGATTTATCCCGCTCTATTCCTCAACAGTCCAAACTTGTGTGCGTGCTGAGCAATTGTAAAACACTTATCGGTCTATGAGTGCTTTTTAGACAAACTCCCTTTTTAGCAGAAAGTTTACGGCGCTCAACAATCACGATATACAGTTCAAAGAGCCGCGAATAACCTTTATATGCTGCCACCAATCATATAATACAGCAAGTGTAGTCAGCAGATCACTAATTCAGATTTCAGATTCAATTCAGACTTCTGATGAGGTTGTGTCATGAATACAGTGCCAGCCATCACTGTATCAATCATACAAATCATGACGGCTCGCATGTATGTGCATGTTTGTAATTCATGTTCACTTATTTAGCACATTGAATGAACAGGGACGGAGAATCAACAATGTGGACACAGTGAGAACATGCAAGCCGACAGCGGTAACAAAGTATTGTTGTATTGGTACATCGGCACACACGTCTTCCTCAGATAGTAGACAGTCCGAAGGATTAATCCCAGGTTAAGGATGTTATCAGAGAAAAAAATCAGCGTCGTGTCGACGTTCTTTCTCTTCCTGTTCCTTGTTAATTTATTGTGCTAAATCAGTGACCATGAATACGAATCAGTTAAAAACAGAAAAATAAAAACTTGTGAGAATAAAGTTGTTTCTGACATCACTATTTTTTAGCTACGACAGCCATAGACAACCTCCATAAGAAGTAAGTGTGAATTTTAAAACACTTTTATTGTGTGCACCTGCTTGCTTGTGCACTGGCATGCACATTTCCCATTTCCTGTAATTTACTCTTTCTACCTCATTTGTATATGATTATAAAATAAAGAACAAACGATATGACGGGCTCATTGAGTGAGAACCCAACCAATGAAATCCCTTCTTGTAAGCACATGCTGTAGTACTGCGATTCTGCTGAATGAACACCGGACAAATCTCGAAATAAAGTACCAATTCAGCACCAATTGAAAAAGCAGGCAAGAATATCATAAGATACTTGCCTGATATTATTGCATGATCGAATGTTAGGCTAGCTGATGCTACTCGTATTAGTATCAGTTTTATTTTGTCTTGTAGTGCTGTATAAGCACATCGTTATTTTCTATACATACGTGGAAAAAAAGAAGTGTCTACATCTATGTAGTCTTAGATACATTAAATCTTATGGCCTGGTGTCTGTCGGCTCTGGCCTTCAATCCCAATGAGGCTTCGGCAGGCCAATTTTGTATTTCTGTGCTGCTTTTCAAAATGCTAACAAAGAATTATTATTTTTATTATTATTATTATTATTATATGGCTTTCAGGGACACGTACAAGCGCTCGACTCCTTTAAAATATACGATGACCTGCAAAAGGTTATTTGCTGTTTAACAAAAAAAAACAATGCAAACTTTATTTCCTCTGATCTCTAATCAGCTGTATTGTTGAGGTAGTTTACTACGAACATTTAAAAAATGTATAACTTCGAAAAAATAACAGTGGACGTGTAGATCAGTGAATGTAATATCAGACTGCAATTAATCAACAATTTGCTCTATGTGATTACGCTGACAAAGTTAAATGGCTACTGTTCATTTGGAAGTGCTCCAGCAGAAAGAGCTAGGAAGATAACGCTATGTAAAATTTCTTTTTTTGCTCTCTCTCTTCTTGTGTGCAAATGTTTGGCCAAACAACACTCAAATGGACTTCCAAGTTCAGCGAGGCATGCCCACCATTAACAGGAAAACAAATAAATGAAGTGATACTGACAGAACCTTGATGTATTATATCGATGACACAAAAGATGGATACGAAAAAACTGGGGACCACACAAACACAAGTGCCAACTTGCAACTGCCGTGCTTTTTTCTCGAAAGGACACTAAACACAACAACGATTTTTTCACATAATACTAAAGTACAGCTTCACAGTGCCGAAAATACCACTCTTCCCGCACCAAACACCAAAACGTAACAGAGTTCGATGGCACCTACTGTGCCCTACGCTGTTCCTCGTCATTAAAAATAGAGTACATTGCCATCTATGGGTGCTAAAGACCTAACAAACCAAGTTGCAGAAAATCTCATCAAGCTCGTGTGACAAAAATACAATAATACAGTTTCAATTTAGTGACATCAGGTGCGGAGGTTTCAGCGTAAAATTTAAAAATGAAACTTTAACTTTGATTTTCATCGCTAATAGAAAACTTATGACAGTGAAACCAGTGACACTAGAGTTCTCAAACTACAAATTATCAATCTAACCCAAGCCCATGTTTCTCCTAAGTGTCGCTTTAACAATGTATCCGTACTAAACCACCCAACTGTCAATCCTGCTTTACTGAATCATAGTGTAAGAGCAAAATTAACAGCTCAGTGAACTTCCATAAAAAGCGTGTTAAATAACTCGTGGATGAAAAGCGTGCATTGTCGCTATAACAATATAAATAAAAGCAATAAAGCGGCAACAAGTTTTATAGGAGACGGGCTATACTGGAATATAACAACATTAAAATCAAACGTTAGACAAACTTTCACAAAACGTGCAGTACACCGCATGCAAAAGTTCCATGAAGTTTTTGCAACTACTGCAAAGCTATGTAGCAGTAAGTCGTGTGCCACATTGCACGGCGCTAGCGGAGCGTTCGTTAAGCTGCGTGTGGCAAGCACTTCTACAAGCGAAACTGGAAACGGGTTGTACTCAACAGTTTTCGCGGAAGCAAATGAATCATCTGTGATTGTGCCGAGAGCAACACTTCCTTTTTGTTTACGTCTTTCCTTTCACTGTTACACACTAAGATGATAGGACACCTGTTGCCAGCTGCGAACAGGTCTGGCCTTACAGATACGACCAGGAGCTTTTAAACGCAGTTTTTTATTTTTATGAAACCCATCAGTGTAGTTCTGGTTAGGTGCTGTAACATAACAAAGTAAGTAAACATTGTGCTTACAACATTGATGTGGAGGAAACTCGTAAGCATGAAAATTTTGACGACGACCATAAAAGGCATGTGCATATTTGCATGTCGACACACAAAGTAATCAGTTTGCACAGTGCATCGAAGAGTAATTACAAAGATCACATTAGCAAAGTATGTTTTTTGTGACTATGCTAATATGAGACTACAAAGAACCCAAATAAAAAGCTTTAAATCTCATTCGTTCAATGGAACCAAGGCCCAGCAGCTATTAACCAAGAAAGATGGCAGAAAGTCTCACAACAGCCTGAGTAATTAGCTACAAAACTCAGTTTACCCAAAACAGTTCCGATTTCAACAGATGAAAGGTCTATGCATGATTACACCAGAGCAAATCTACACATTTCCTCCCTGTCATAACAGCGGCTACCACAAAGGAGTGCAGGCCAGCGAAATATGTTTGGCATGTGTTTATCTTTGAATCAATGGCTTCACTGTACTAGCAACAGCGTTACGCAGTGCATGCAAAGCTCGTTTCATGTCATAACATTGCTATAATGTCGGAAATGCAAAGTCTGGTGGTTTGAAAAAAAATAACGCTGAATGGAAATACCTTACACGTGTTCCCAACTTTGTGCAGGCTGTATTTCATCTCATGACACGTGGAAGTGATGCGATGGTTGGTACAAGTGAATATATCATCAATACCTTGAAGTGTCATACCAACGAAAGGAAAAATGTGCACATGCAGTGGTGCTGCGTTGATAAGTGTAAAGTACAAATTAAACTGTTGTCAATTAATCAGATATGCTGTGGTAGCTGAAGGTACACTGTTACCAGATGTCTCTTCTGGCTTGGCAGCAGTGGTGGCTTTTGAAGGGTACCATGCATAAGCTGTCACAGTGAAAGCAGTACAGTCTCCTGTCTTGGGAATTTATTTCATTACCATACCTCACCATATTGCCGTTATGGAATCATATTTGTGGAATCGTGCTCTTTGCCCGTGTTCGAAGTTTTGCAATGCGTATTTTTGCCGATTAAAAGGAACATGTACGACAAGAAAAAACACGATGATGACGTCTTCGCGTTTGAAACGAGACGACGTTCAAGGCCGGCACGTCGTTGCTAACGCTATATAAGCTAATCACAGAATGATGGATCCTAATCATTATGCCCTCGAAATCTCTGCGGAAACAGCAGGTGTTGTGCAAGACCACCCGCTGCGCCGGCGCATGCTGATGGTTCGTCCAAAGCCGGAAAACACGATCGCGTGCGTAAAGACGATTACTATGCAACCCGTATAAACGTTACTTCTGTTCACGACAGTGGCGTGTTATTCAACGCGTGCCGACCCGGTCGCAGGTCCCGGGTGGGCTTCAGCGTCGCGGTTCTCCGTACCCGTGCGCGAGCTCGGGATACGTTACGCAAGCGAAGTCTCGCAGCAGGTTTTGTCGGCGTGCAACGGAGCGTCGCCGCGTACAACTCCGCGGCGCGGGCTGCTGCTTTTACACGCGCCGGTGAGTCGGAAGCCCGTAAGCGAAAGCCCACGGGCGCCGGCAGCGAGCTACAAGTGTCCCCATACAAATCGTCGCCTCGCCGAGCGCGCGTAAACACCCACCCCGGAGACGAGATGGGTAGAAATGCCGTCCTCCGAAACCGAGGGCGGTAAACGGCGAGGGTTCGGAACCCGAGCGAGGTGGGCGCGCCTCGCTGCCGCTACCGTACTACTTTCGGGGGGTCGTTTGGCTTCCGGGGAAGCCGGCCGCCGGTTAGGCCTAGGGCCTGGGAGCCGCGAGAGCGGGGGGTTACTGAAGCGCCCTACTCACTGGGCATGGGCTCCTCGTCGTCGCTGTAGATGGCCTCGTCGTTCTCGGCGATCGCCGGCGGGCGGCCCGAAGACGCGCTGCGCTGTCGCTCGTCGCGCAGCCCGGAGAAGTAGCGCGCCGCGTACTCCACCAGGTCGCTGGGCCGCTCGATCATCACGTTCACCGTGAACTCGAGCAGCAGGTTCGTCAGCTCCGGCGGGACGTCGTAGCGCGGACGGTTCATGGCTCTGGCGCCGTCGGATTTGTCTCTCTTCTTTTTCTTAGCAGTACATCCGCGCAGGGGCACCACCGTTGCACACGAAACGGGGGGTCAGCAACGACCCAAAACACCACCACGAGAAAAGAGCACGGCAGAGGACACGGGAGGAGGTCGGACACGCACTTTCGCCTTCCAAAACAGCGGCGCGCAGGCACACGATCCGCTGCAGCGCCGGGTCCCTCTTCGCCTTCGTTTTTTCTCTCTCGCGGCCGCTAATGAAGCAGCGACTGAGCGAGCGCAGCGCGCCGTCTGCTACACGCGGCGCTGTCGACGCCGCCGCCAGATGATTGGCCAAGACTGTCGGCCAATTGCAAAAAATAAAAGGTGCGCGGCACGCTCCTAAATTTGGCTCCAAATTTAATCCGGCGGCCAGAGTAAAAGTTCCGCTACATATCGCACAATGCCGTTGCGGGTACGGCGAGAAGACGCTTTTCCTGAAGCGCAGCAACCCGACGGCAACGGCCCTAGCGACACTGGGAATCGGCCTCACCGGGAATAACTCATCGGCATCGCCGCGATGCTCGTGCGAGTGCTTTGGTTTTCTGTGATTGTTTCACTGCGCCGTGTTGCGCTCCGGCGCCGCTGTTCGACATTGAGCAGGTGGTTGCGCACCTGCTCATACGAAAATGATTTCAAATACGCAACGTAGGCACACAGGTGGGAGCTTGCTATGCGTCGAAAGGGGGTCTCCATTTACATGGCATTTCACGGCGCTTCCTCGTGTTATGGTACGCTAATTGTGCGGATGCAGGAAACACGGCATTAACGCTGACTGCCGTCGCTTATTTTACAAAGAAGACGTGAGAATTAATGAACACCAAATGTTAATTACTTTCATCTCACAAGTCTTAATGGGACGCTCTGCGAAAGCACTTCGATTACACGAACAATGCGATGGTCCTTGGACGTCCATCATGCTCATTTTCTTAAATATCGGTAAATCAGGGTAGATGCTTCGGAGTGTGGACGTTTTTTTTTTTTATTTTGCACATAATAGTATAGTTTATTTCACGAGATGCGCTTCTGTAGTGGGAGCCGAAGCATCCTTTTATTACTGAACTTTTTTTTTATTTGTACAATGGTCGTCACAATTTCTTTATATGTTATGACAATAAATAAATCAGCGAGTTTATTGCCTACAAATCCCAGACAAACATTTACAGTGATGTTCCCATTTAGATACCCTACGGGGCGCAGGTTTTAACACACACCACCTTCCTCTTCTCCTCCCTGAACACAATTCAACAACAACAACAAAAAACGAAATTAAGACAATCATGAAGAAAGGCTCACTGAGGAATAAGCAATTACAGAGCGAAAATGTCTGGTTTTCACGTGCGCTTATGGCCTCATGCTCAGGTCTATGACGTCTTCAGCTCGTCAATGAAGTGGACTATATATTCTACACTGTTTATTGCGCTGCTGGTTTAAACATCGTCTCACGTTTTATCCCGTATGAGACCCGACTCAGCAAACCTCGTTTGACGTACTTGCCGAAACGAGGGATTCCCGACAGTGCGACGGCACACCACGCGATCTCAGGTTTTCCTGATGTGGCAGTGAACAATGACCTACACAGAATATCTTCCCAGTGGACAGAGCCAATAAGAAAGGCAAATCGCCTGAGCTAGGTCGCACTTAACAAATTTCATTGTTCAAAAATAGAAGCGCAGTCGCTTTCCCATCTGTTCCTAATTGTTGTGCATTGTCCCCTTACAGTACAATATGTACGTCTAAACAAATCATTGACTACAGATTTGCATACCTTTATAAAACAAAAAACAATGAAAATGGTTTATTTCTTACACTTCACCTTTCATTATGTGATACCAGAGTGCAAAGTAGTTTTGTGTTACCAAAGTGTAGAACTATAATTTGTCTGTGTCAAGTTACACTGTGCCGAAATTCTCGGACACCTCATGTTATGACCGCCTCAATACTATGTTTCTTACTGGCATCCGCAAAAGCATTATTCAGCAACCTACACGTGTTACCGTAATAACAAGTGTTTTCATATTTCCACACATTCTATGAATCTGTGCTATTGTTTCGCACTCGTTGCCATTTAGGGTACATATGTCTGTTGTACCAATTTTATTATTTATTAGTTTCTTTTTTTAGTAAACGCATAGAATTTTGTCCGAATTTTCTGTGCAGTCATTGCAGTTCGCTTTAAATTTGTACCTTCTGCTGGCATGTTAGGATGGCGAGGCCCATCAGCAGCTTCATTTTCACCATCCCCAGTCTGCGTGTGCAATCTGAAAAAAAAAAAAAAATCGGCACATCCCACATACCTTGGGAATCGACGTTATGCGAAGCATGTGGAGGGAAGCTGACCGCTAAGTAATTTTTTTTTTTTTATTGAGCGATAGGTAATGAAATGACGCTAAGTATACACGTATAAGTGTTGTGGTGTGCTCTGTGATGACGTGCTTTGCGGTGATGCTCTGTTCTTTGTGATGTGATGTGTCGATCGCATGCTGATTCCTTCGTTATTCGTATGTGACAGAGGTGTATTAATGTTTTGAGCGACTTCGTTATCACACTGAAGCAGGTTCATCGCCACGTCATTATGCTGGCTTGACATCATCTAAGCCGCCGTGTTGGAGCCATGTTGTGCGTCCAGGATGTCCCGTGCAATCATGATACACGGTGCAGAGGTGATACGATGATACGGCTGAATTAATACACTCGTTACCTTTGCTGCAAGTGCATATGAGTGAAAGGAGAACTCACCGCCGTAACGTATTTATCAAACACTTCCGTTGCACAAACGACACATGTGCCAACAACAACAACAAAAAAAGAGAACGTCGTTTACCGATCACGTGGAGTTCATACTGCAGCAGCTGTACATGTAATAGGTCCGCGCTTTCGGCCGGATGCTTGTTATCGTGACATGCGCGTCTGGAGTGCTGTTCGATATATAACCACAGCGCTCAAATTGATAAAGCATTACTATCGAACCACCCACGTAGATTTGCCACCGCAGTGGATGAAGTCGGCGAGTATAGACCATTAATATTGTTTCTGAAGCGGAAGTAAGATACAATCTGCCCCGCCACGGTGGTTTATAATGGTTACGGCACCCGACTGCTAAACCGAAGGTCACCGTGATCAAATCCCGGCTGCGGCGGCTGTGTTTTGCCACGGAGACGAAAATGTTTGAGGCATGTACGTATGATATTTAGGTGCAGGTTAAAGAGTACAAAGTTGGTCGAAATGTTCGGAGGCCTGCACTCTACCGCGGCGTCTCTCATAATCGCATCGTGACGTTGAGACGTTCAAGCCCAGATATTATTATTCATGACTGATACGAGCTGACAAAACCGACTTCAGCTTGGAAATGCATTGGAACGTGTGTTGTGTGTGTGTGTGTGTGTGTGTGTGTGTGTGTGTGTGTGTGTGTGTGTGTGTGTGTGTGTGTGCACGCGCGCAATAACACTATCACCTGGGATTTTACGTCCCAGTATCGCAATATCTATGGTTATGAGGAATATCGCAGTGGATGGACTGTTATGGCACAGTGCCCGGGCGCCTGTACTGTTTCGCCCCCCCCCCGAAATGCAACCGCCGTGGCTGGGATCGAACGCGCGACCTTCGGATCAGCAGCCGAGCGCCGTAATCACTGATCACCGACGCGGACAGTGTGCGTCTCTATTTTACGCTTACATCTTATCAACACGACTCGTTGGTATCGTTGAGTTTCCGGCATAGTGAAGTACAAGGGCGTAGCCAGAATTTTTTTTTTTTTTTTGGGGGGGGGGGAGGGGGGCGGGGGGTTATGCCTTCACTTTTCCCTACGCCAGGAGTGATAATAATAATCCCTTCTCACCGGCTATTTCAGCAGGTAAACTTTCGCGATGAGTCCATAGCTCAAGGCAGGGCCGCGTGTATATGATGATAATTACAGTGAGCACTTCAATACACGGCATTTGTTGGTCTCCTTTAAATGGCCGTTTAATTATTCCCAAACAAGTCCCAGCCGCACTGTTGGGGAACATACACGACCGCGAAAAATGCGCTTCACACCAAAAAAATTACAAAGCGCAACAAAAAAAGCCGTAATTATTTATGGGTTTTTACGTACCAGAATCACGATGTGATTACAAAGTACACCGCATACAGTGCAGAACTCGGGAAATACTACCACTCGTGGATCTCTTACGTCCACCTGAACCTGGGTTACAGTGTACTAGAAGAGGGTTCTAGTACACTGTACCTGAGTACACAGACCTTTCTTGAAAGTCAGGGGCGGCGCTATTCTTTTTTTTTTTTTTTCTACCAGGAGTACATCCACGATAAGCGGGTTGTTTCAAGAGGGGCCGGGCGGCGGGGAATATGTGTGCTGTATTTTGAATACGTTTACTCTCGGGGCAGCATGGATAAGTTAAGGGGCAGGTGGAAACCTTTTTTTTTTTTGGGGGGGGGGGGGGGGCAGCTGCTCTATCCCCAAGTGCCCCCACTGGCACCACCCCTGAAGAAAGTAACGTGAAATTGTCATCGTAATGACCATGAAGTTTTCTAAAACTGATATCAATAAATTTTGGTTCCTCTTTAACTACAGCATATAATCTGGTAAGTTATAATTCTGCCATTTGAGCTTGAGTTAATTCAACCACAAGGCAATTACATGAAAACTGATTGTATACGCGATTTTTTACAAAGGGAAAAAAGCTGCATGTTACAGCTTGAGTGGCCCTTCATTCAGAAAATAAAAAGTATAAATTACAATAATTACAGACAGCGAAAAACGACAATACAAATAGACATATATTTACAGTCGAAACTGTGTTGTCAAAGTGGGTCAATCACAATGGGTGGTCGACCCATTTTTCCTCGTACGACCACAAAAAAAACGCGCCCAGACTCGACATATACGTGGCGAAACACGAACGATAAGCTTAACGCCCTGCAGTGAATCTTCATGCACCTCACGTATAACCGATGAAGCTGCCACCGGGTTCGGCTACCTTCGACTCGTCAGCGATGTGAACTGACAACGTCATTAGGACCTCAGTAACATTAAAATATTTGTGACGTTACAAAGACGTGAAAAACAAAAGGCTGTCATTGCGTAACGTAATCGATCACCAGGAGGAGGTCACCTGGATTGTTTTTCTATTCGTCAACTGACATGGACGGGGCCCCATGGTCAAAGAGGTGTGCTCCTTACAGCTCAAGTGCTATTTTAAAAATAATAAAAAAGTAAGTTTGAATTGATTAGAGCAGCGTGCTCTATACCAAGGCCCATCCAATGAAAACAAAGAAACGATTGATTTTTTTTATCGGTTGTGACTGCCGTGGGAGATCAGTTAGCTTTGCCTATAACATTTCTCGAAGCGGCTGCTTCAATGCATAACCACAGAAGTTTCGCATCAATGACAAAGTAATAGACGCGATAGCAAGAAACTAGAATGTTGCGGGAATTCGAACGGCAAACAACTATAGAAA